TCACACATCCACCAAGGCGTTCGGGCTGCACGGGTCTCGCAGCTCTAGTCTGCGGGCCTCACCTCCAGCTGGCAGGCGCGAGCTTGTGTGTGGCCACCTGCTGCCCCCTCACCCACCCATCTTGCTCCAAGGCCCCGCCCTTCAGGAGCTTGTCTCTGGGACCCAGACCACCCTCCACTCCTTCCAAGCCCTTCCACCCAGGGGTACCACTGCCTCACCTTCAAGAGCTCCCCCAGCGCCGAGTCTGGAAGTGTTTTGAGGGGCTTCTCCCTAGACTCGGTTGGTCTTGACATCTCTCTCTGAGAGGCCCATGGCACAGTGGTTGGAGGATTTGGGAAGCACAAAGGCCAGCCTTCTGAGGGCTCCTGTGGATCCCTCAACCCCTTCCCTCGTCGTCCTGCTGGAGCGGGGGCCTGGTGGGGGCTGAGTACTTCTGGAATAAACACCATGAAGAAAATGAAAAACATCACCTCAGTACACCAAAATGACCTTAAAGGAAAATGGAGGGAATCAAATCCCACTTTCAACACCACAAAAACTACAGATCACTCAGAGTAAATATATCAAGGAAGATACAAGAGCCACATGAAGAAAACGATGCACTTGTACGGAGGGACTAAATACACGGTGAGATACATGGGGTTTCTGAGTGGCAGGACTTCCAACAGTGAAGAGCGCTTCCTTCCCCAGCTTCAAACGGAGATGAATTAAAGCCCAATCAAAAGCCCCTGAGGAGGGTGTGGAGCCAGACAAGTGGGTTCTAAAACTTATCTGTTAGGAATAAACTGCAAGAAGTGGCAAGAGTCTTTCAAGCAGAAGAGAAGGCAGGCTCTTGCTCGCCAGCTGCTGAAACTAGCGGGGAGTCAAGAACCTTGGTGGGACCCAGAGCGGGAGGAGGCCCCAGGAGGGAAGGGGTCCCCTGCCGTTCGCGCGCAGGAGGGAAGCGGGTCCCCTGCCGTTCGCGCGCAGACCCAAAGCACACACACACACGGAGCGGTGCACCCTGCCACCCACATGGCGCTTAAGTCGCCAGGCAAAGAGAGCAAAGCACACACACACACGGAGCGGTGCACCCTGCCACCCACATGGCGCTTAAGTCACCAGGGAAAGAGAGCAAAGCACACACACACATGGAGCGATGCACCCTCTTACCCACATGGCGCTTAAGTCACCAGGGAAAGAGAGCAAAGCACACACACACATGGAGCGGTGCACCCTGTCACCCACATGGCGCTTAAGTCACCAGGCAAAGAGAGCAAAGCACACACACACATGGAGCGATGCACCCTGCCACCCACATGGCGCTTAAGTCACCAGGGAAAGAGAGCAAAGCACACACACACACGGAGCGGTGCACCCTGCCACCCACATGGCGCTTAAGTCACCAGGGAAAGAGAGCAAAGCACACACACACACGGAGCGGTGCACCCTCTTACCCACATGGCGCTTAAGTCACCAGGGAAAGAGAGCAAAGCACACACACACATGGAGTGGTGCACCCTGTCACCCACATGGCGCTTAAGTCACCAGGCAAAGAGAGCAAAGCACACACACACATGGAGCGATGCACCCTGCCACCCACATGGCGCTTAAGTCGCCAGGGAAAGAGAGCAAAGCACACACACACACGGAGCGGTGCACCCTGTCACCCACATGGCGCTTAAGTCACCAGACAAAGAGAGCAAAGCACACACACACATGGAGCGATGCACCCTCTTACCCACATGGCGCTTAAGTCACCAGGGAAAGAGAGCAAAGCACACACACACACGGAGCGGTGCACCCTGTCACCCACATGGCGCTTAAGTCACCAGGCAAAGAGAGCAAAGCACACACACACATGGAGCGATGCACCGTCTTACCCACATGGCGCTTAAGTCACCAGGGAAAGAGAGCAAAGCACACACACACATGGAGCGGTGCACCCTGCCACCCACATGGCGCTTAAGTCACCAGGCAAAGAGAGCTTAGCCAAAAAATGGCGCTGAGCAAAATCACGCGTGTTTGGGGGAAGTCCCTGCCCCCTGCCACACTCTAAACTCCAGGGCTGGATATCCGAATGTGGTGGCCACATCTGTAACAGTATTAGGGGAAAGTGCAGAGATTATTTTCCTCAGGAAAGCGTAGGGGACAAGTTCGTAAGACCTGAAACCCAGAAACCATAAAACAGCAATTAGATTCAGCCACATGAAACTTGAGAAACATATGTACAATGAAGACATCAAAAACAAAGATGCAAGGAAATATTTGCAAAACACACACCATGGGAAAGACTGTTTCCTTGACGTACACATGAGTCTGACAAGTCACAGGAAAAGACAAAGTCACAATAGTAGGAGTGGCAATTGCACAATCACAGAAGAAACACGGGGGCTGACACGCTTAGGACATCCAACCTCACTAGTAACTCCTCTTCGATATTTACTTACTTGGCTGTACCCAGTCTTAGCTGTGGCAGGTGGAATCTTTTTAGTTGTGGCATGCCAGCTCTTAATGTGGGGTCTAACTCCCTGACCAGGGGTCAAAACCAGGCATTGGCAGCATGGAGTCTTAGCCACTGGACCACTGGGGAAGTCCCACTAACAACTTCTTAAGTGGTCCTCAGAGTAAGGTTCTTAAAAGTCCTAAAGTTGAATAACACCTCTGTGAGGGATGTGGATGAAGTTGGTGTGACTATGACTTAACGTGGTCCTTTCTGAGGCACCTATTTCATTGTTAGGTCAATGTCCTCTCCAGCTCAGCTGTCCTCATCTCGGAATGAATGTGACGGAAATAATCGCCTGACCCCCATAAGGATACGGGGACTAGCACGGTCAGGGCAGTGCGTGCATGCTCAATCACTTCAGTCGTGTCCAACTCTTTGCAACCCTTTGGACGGTAGCCCACCAGGCTCCTCTGTCCATGGGATTCTCCAGGCAAGAATCCTGGAGTGAGTTGCTACCTCCTCCAGGTGATCTTTCCGACCCAGGGATCAAACTGGCATCTCCTGCACTGAAAGTGGACTCTTTACCCACTGAGCCACCAGACAACCCCAGTCACTGAAGTCCTACTGGTGAAGTACACTGAGGGGACCCCTGCGCCCTCCAACAAGGGGAGGCCGAATGAGCCCTGGCTCATCGGTCTAGGGGCTACTCAGCCGCTGGCACTGAAACAGAAAGGTCCATCTAGACCTCCTGACCTGGGAAGGTGCCCTTGCTGAACTGTCCAAAAGAGGAGTCCATGGCACTCTGGTGAGAGACTCAATTCCCAGATAGGTTGATAAGAAGTTCAGGGTCCCCGAGGAGGAGAAAGGGGTCTGGGGCTCTCAAGGAGAAAGGGAGAACTTTTTTTTTTTGGCTTTGTTTAGTCAATATAACAAAGTATTTTGCTCAAGGACATGTTTCTCCTTAACAAGAACCTTCTGAATAACCTTGCAGTCTTAAGACTTATATTGTGGGAGTGGGTCTGGTAAGACCTTTCTATTGTTAGTTCTGATCTTGTTAATTTAAGATGTTTGTTGTGGGAGTGGGTCTGGTAAAAGTATATAGTGTGTTAGTCGCTCAGTGGTGTGACCCCATGGACTGTAGCCTGCCAGGCTCCTCTGCCCATGGAATTCTCCAGGCAAGAGTACTGGAAAGTGAAAGTGAAGTCTATCAGTCGTGTCCAACTCTTTGCAATCCCATGGACTGTAGCCCACCAGGCTCCTCCATCCATAGAATTTTCTAGGCAAGAGTACTGGAGTGGGTTGCCATTTCCTTCTCCAAAAGTATATGAGGCCTTGATAAGACTAGTGAGTTTGGGCACTCTCTGTCCCCCTTCTGATGTCTATGTCAGAAGCTTTGTCTGTCCCTTTTTAAACTTTAATAAAATTCTGCTACACAAAAGCTCTTGAGTGATCAAGCCTGGTCTCTGGTCCTGAAGTTAAACTTCTACTTCGGAAATCACAAATCCGACATCGTTCCCCATAAGCTGTCACTGGCTGATCAAAACGAGTGTGCGCGTGCCCCAGGGCCAAGCCGGCACGCAGGCTGCGGACTTCGATCCTTCCGAGAACTCACAAAGGTGGGGGCTACTGAGAAGCCCCCAGAGGTAGGGGTACAAGCTCAGGTCCAGTTGTGTGGAAACAGGAGCTGAGGGGTCAAGGCCGGGCTGTCTGGGCCACAGTGCCCTCCCTCTAAGCCCCCTGTCCACTCGGAATCACGCATCTTTATTAAAAGACCCGGGAGAGCTTCACACCTTTTCGTGTTTTAAACACTTCCCTCAGATAACAAATTCAGCAAAGACTAGGTAGAGGTTGGTTTGCGCCCCATGTCCCTGGGGTGATCCGTCCACATCCTCCCAACACCTCCAGGCGTCCCATTGCTCCAGACCGCCTGGCTCCAGCTCCAGCCTCCCCCAAATCCCCAAGGTTTTCTGCCTGCTTCCCCTGAGCCAGCCACGTCTTCCAGGTCACCCACCAGCAGCACCCAGTCCCGAGGGTCCCAAAAGGAGCAGACACACTCAGTGGGTAGCACACTTTACTGAGGTCTGGGGGAGGGGTACATCGCAGAGCAGCAGAGCAAACTTAAAACGGAGTGGGAGACACCCTCCAACGAGCCCCTCGGCCGTCTCCACCAGCGGGAAGTTGACACCGAGCTGTATCCACCGACCCTACTCTCCCCCGGTTCGCTCACCCGGGACCTCCAGACCCCTCTCCATCATGCTTGCAGAGAAGCCCAGGGAGGAAGGCCAGGGCCAGCCCTGAGGAGAGATCATTCATTTACCACTATCATTCATTCCAGGCGGTGCAGGACCCAGGAGCGATCATGGGCTGGGTCAGCCACAGAGGGACGAAGAGGAACTGGCCAAGGACCAAACCCCAGGGAAAGCCTGGAGTGGCTGCGGAGCCTCCCGTGGCAAGCCTGGACCACAGGATGACTCACATGGCCGAGGGGTGCAGAGGCTGGCTGGACGCGGGTGCAGGGACAGACAGAGGGCCCACTGTTGGAGCAGAAAAGGCCAGGAGAAGCCGCACTCTCGGGTCAACCTCCAGAGCCCTCCTGCCTCCTCCCACCCGAAGCACCCAGTCCCTCTGCCATCCTGCAGACCCTGGTCGGGGGACTGGCCTTCCAGACCCTACCTGTGGGGGCACCCGACTCAGGGTGGGGATGTGAGTGTGCCTGGTTCTGTGGCAGACTCCTGGCACGTGAGCCTGAAATGGCCCTGACAGCTCTCGGGGAGCGGACCACCCCCAGCGGGAGAGGGCATGTGGAGCCCTGCACACAGGGCCGTGGCTGTGTGTTCTCATCTGCACACACACCTGGACCTGTGTGATTTGCCTGTGCTGGGGCATACTGATTCAGGAGCTGCTGTGCCGCAAATGTGTCAGTGTGGGAGCGCGGCGGGGGCATGAGCGTGGTGTGGTGGGGAGTGTGCCCTCAGTGGGCACAGGTGTGAGTCTGGTGTGTCCATCTCCCTAGTGTGTGCACAGACAGTTGAAGGCCTCACCCTCAGGCCCACCCTGTGACCTTGCTCAGCCCAACACTCACCGCCCTTCAAGCTGTTCCCAAACCTTTCCAGGCCCACAGTCCCCTGGTAACCCCCAGAGGACCCGCACCACCCTCCTGCATCCACTCACCTGCACTTTCTCTGCCAGGAACCCCTCCCTCCCCAAAATCCCCACCCAGGCTCAGACCTGGGTCTCCAGGCTCAGAAGTGATTTTATTTCTCTGCAGATATCCTCACAGCCAGGCTGTTGGGCTGGGCCCGGCTTCCCCTCAGGGACCCAGGGGCCCAGCCTCCTGCCAGACGCCTCGTCCCTGAGATGTCCTGTAGCTGCAACTTGGAGCTGGTGGGGAGACAGGGAGGTCCCACAGCTGGGGCGGGCAGGAGCCACAGGCTGCGGAGAGGAGCCAAGGCTGCCCCCAGTGCCAGCCATGCCAAGCTGGGGAGGGGGCAGCCACAGGCTCAGGTGTAGGGGGACAAGCTCGGAAGCCCTGCGAGGGGGAGGGGGCCTCAGGGTCCAGCCCAGAGGAGGGCAGGCCCCAGGCTGAGCAGGAGCCCCCCAGCCAGGGCCCAGGGGCTGCGCCCCGGCTGTGCCACCCCATTGCACAAATCCTTCTCGCAGCAGTCCACGTCCACTTTCAAGATCCCAGAGTTAATGAAGCCCATCAGATAGTCTGAGAAAAAGTGCCGCTTCACAAAGTCACAGGATGAGGCACACATCTTGTTCACGGAATGATCCTTCCTGCCTGGGGATGAAGACGGGGAGCCTGGGATTGGAGCCCCACTAGCCTCTCAGCCTCATTTCCAGGACCCAGCCCAGGGACCCTCCAGCTCAGCTCAGGACACCAGAACAACACAACTGAGGCTTCAACCCACCCATGCTGTCCCCCAGCTCCGCGGAAAGAGTCAGAGAGAGTCAGGTACCTGCTGACTGTCACACAGCAGGGTAGGGTCATGCCCCCAGACACATACCATTGTCCGAGGCCAGAGGGACTCTGATGACACCACCGACCCCCACCTCCCAGCCTGGAGCCTGACTTACTGCTGCTGGGGTCTGTGATCCAGACAGTGGCACACACCGTGTCCGACGGATGGCACTGCTTGGGAGTGCAGTGGCTGGAGTTGGTGGTCAGTGTGCAGTCCTGGCACCACAGGCCGTGAGCTGGGCAGGGCATGGGGAGGAGAATGACTAGAGGAACCGGGGCTCGGGCCAGCCAGCCTCCTGCATCCTCCCCAGCTGCCTCATCGCAGGTCCTAGCAGAGCCGCGTGGCTGTAGGAGGCCAGGCACCCCCTGACCACGAGTGACCAGGCCAAACTGGCACCTGGAGGACAGGCTGGGAAAACCTGTGTGCCTTTGGGCAGGTTGGGGTGAGGGTGCTGCCGCTGGAACTCCGGAAGCCCCTCTGCACCCCCAGGCCCCACACATATGCACAGCACACACGCACAGAGTCACACACATCACACCTGTGGTGCCTTCCTGCACACTCCTCCCCCCAGTTCACATCCCCCAGAATCCAGTTGGTTTGATCCAGGAAGGTCAGACAGGACTTGATGGGGAGCCGAGGGGCTCTGAGAAGAGTGAGGCCAAGAATGCCGTCCCCAGGCCAGGGCATCCGCACGGTGGCCAAGGCCCAGGAGGAAGAGAACGCACGCCCTCGGAGCCAGGAGAGCCCCACGTGGCTGCACCCGGGGCAGCCCAAGCAGAGGGCCACACGGTAAGGGCAAGGCTGGGGTCGCAGGGGTGGGGGGGCGGTGGCTTGGTGGGTATCATGGGAGAATGGCCGCCCCACACCTGGTTCTCTCCGGAGCTGTCTCGCACAGACTCTCAGGTGACCTGGACTCCCCCCCGCCACTGGCCCCCAGACTTACCGGGGGCCGAGCACAGCAGAGCGGCCAGCAGCACCAGGCCGAGGCCCTTCATGGCTGCAGGCATCATGCTCCAGGCGGGCCTCGGGGAGGCGCGGGGGCTGCGTGCGGGGGTCGTCTGGGACACCGGCCTGGCAGGGAGAAGCCTCGATCAGGAAGGAGTCCAAGCCCCCTGCCCAGCTCGAAGGGCCCTCCCCTTTTCTGGCATCCCAAGGCAACCTCCATCCTGGAATCCAGAGCCTGGGGTCGCCGGGGAGCTCCAAAGCCCCGCCCCCAGCCCATCCGCGAGAGCATCCACCATGGCTGCACCCCCTCCCGGGAGGAGAGGCCTGCCCTCTCGCTGGGGGACGGCCCGAAATGCCCCCTTCTGGCGCTCCGCACCTGTGGGATGAGGGATGGGGAGGTGGGGGTGGTCGGGAGGCGCGTCTTGTCCCTGGGGAGCCGTGGGTGCATCCGGAGAGGAAAGGGCCGGATGAGGTGCGAGTGGACAGTACCTGCCGGCGAGGGGAGGGGCGCGCGCTACCCCCACCCCCACCTCTGGGCCGGGGGCCCGGGAACCCGGCGCTGAGCCTCCTCCCCTGTCTCCTCACGCGAGCCTTGGCTCTCACCGCGGGTCTAGGCGTGGAGCGCGGGCCTTGGGTCGGGGGCACACTCACATCCCTGGGGTGCCGCGACTCCGGGGCTCCGGGCGGCGGGGGCGGCGCGGGGAGCAGTGCCCTTCGGTCTCCCTGCGGACGGGAACCCGGGTGCAGCCGTGTCTTTCGGGGAACGCAGCCGCAGACACGGACCCCGCGCGAGGGGCGGGGCGGAGCCGGGGCGGGGGCCGCTCGGGGGGCGGGGGCGGCTGGAGTCGCGCGGATGGGGGCGCCTGGGACTCAGGGCCCCGCAGGGTCACCGTCCCGGGCTGTCTTGGGCCCCCTAGCCAGCAGGCACCCCGCTCCCCCGCCCGCGCCCGCGCCCTCTCCGCTCCCGATCTCTTCACCCGTGCACTTCCCCTACCTCCGCCTCCCCCCACCCGGGCGCGGGCAGGTCCCTTCCCCCTCAGCTTGGCTGAGATCCCCTTGGAATTTCTCGGAAGAACGTTTACTGCGAAAGGAAACGAAAGGCACAAAGACGCAGAGAGGGAAGGACGGAGGGAGCGCGGCAGGTACTAGCCCAGGACCCTGTTCGCGGCCCTTGGGCCCCCCCTTCCCCGACCCCATCACGATCCCGATGGTTCAAGGTTATTCTCCGCGCCCCCACCCCCACGACGACCCCACGAGCAGCCGCAGCCCCAAGGACTGCTGCCTCCAACCACACCCACACTCAGAGGGCAAGTCCCAAACCCTGGTCTTGGCATTCAAGGCCCTCTGCCACCTGCTCTGGTCCACTTCTCAGCTTTGTCTCTTGCCTTCTGCTCCCATCACGCCTGTCCTGCTGTGTTTTGCACCTGCTGTCCCTCGTGCCTGAGTCCGGTCTCTGCTGGGCACTGCTGTCCGCTGGGCGAGGAGCAAGTGCTAACGTCCTTCCTTCAGTCCCGCCCTCATCTGTCCGACAAATATTTATGCAGACAGCCTGGGACCACACTCAGGTGTGTGACTGCAGGCACGATGCCTGCTCCCTGAGCCTCAGGTCCTTATCTATAAAATGGAACCACGAAAGCATGTGAGGGCTGCACCAAACCCACAGGGACAGAGATCACTGGGCACCCGGCCCAGGGCAAGTGCCGGCGAGAGGGCAGGCAAGCAGGGGACAATGGGGCAAATTGACAGGGGCTACCAAGTGGGATGAGGAGTAAAGAGAGAGGCCGGGGGTGTGGACAAGGCCTCTCTGATGGAGCCAGTGATCCTGCAGGAGGAGTGTCCACAAGCTCCAAGATAAAGAGAGCAGGAGTGTTTGGGGGAGGGCTGGGAGGATGGCTCAGGCCACAATATGGAAAAGGGTTAGATTTTGTCCCAAAACCTATTCGGCTGGGCAGAGTCTTAAGTCTGGGCTTGAGTCCAGATCCAGCCATCCTTGTGAGAATTAACACATGCATTTCAGATTTAACACAAGGCCTTCTCCAAGGGGCTTGGGCAGGGCAGATATCCTGGGTGCCCTCCCACAAGACCGGCCTCTACACCTTTTGGTCAGGTGGACACTGACTCTCTGTCCAGGATTGGGGTGACGGTGGGGTGGCACTTGGTGGCGGTCCCTGCAGATCACAGCCAACCTGCTCCTGGTTTGGGAATCTCTGCCGAAGTCCTGTCAGAGACTTGGAAGATCCCTGCCAGACCTAAGGCAAGGCAACCCACCCCCAATACCTGGGACTGGTAGTGTGGGGGCAGGCTCTCAGAGCCCCCAGTGACCCTGGGGTATTCTTGCCCTGGTGTATCTCCTTACTTTTTTTTTTTTTTTTTTTTTTGGCCATCCCATTTAGCTTGTGGGATCTTAGCTTCTCAACCAGGGATCAAATCCAGGCCCTTGGCAGTCAGAGCGAGAGTCTTAACCACTGTACGTCCAGGGAGTCATCCCCTCCCCACTGAGCATGGCTGGACTCACTTCCAGTGAAGAGGGGGTGAGACCAGAGGGATGTCACTTCTGAGATCAGATTATTGAGACCGTCGTTTCTGATGTGGGCTCTGCCTCCCGTCCTCTCTCAGATTGCTCATCCTGCTGGCAGCCCTGTGCAAAGGCACTGAAGCCTGCCAACAACCACCAAAGAGACCACAGAAGTGGACCCCCAACAACCAGTGGAGCCCTGAGACGAAACCAGAGCCCCAGCCAACAGCAACTTCATGAGAGAATGTGAGCCCGAGGTCCAGCACTTGAGTTCCTGACCCTTGGACACTTTAAGAGCATGAACAGTGTTGTTTTAAGTGCCTATGTTTGGGGGTAGTTTGTTATGCAGCAAAAGATAGCAGATGAGTAGGTTCTGGATTGGGCATGATGGGGGCAGATGCCAGATACCCAAAGAGTAATGCCCAAGGAGTCTGCCCCCCACCCTCCAGGGAATGCAGCTCAGGCCTGTTCCTTGGAGAGCAAAGACCCTGCTCTCCCCATGCTGGGCTTGGTTGCCAGGGAGAAAGATATTCCTAACGCAGTTTCCAAGCTACTCTGCCTTCCTCCAAATACACGTGAGATGGTGTCGCCCTATCAGGATTTTTGCAAACAAGAATAAAAATCAGTCATGATGGGCAGAAGAAAGGGCAGAGTGTCCATGTGTGGCCCTGGCCCTTGCAGTCTGGACAGCCCCTGCATGGAGCTGTCCTTGACCTTCCTCCTCCCCACCTGACCTGGCCCAGGTGCCTAGATGCTGGTGCTGGGATCTGGCTCTGCCTGGAGACACTCTGACAAGTACCCACAGTCTGTAGGGTGACCGTGTGACTGTTGCCCAAGTCTCATGCTCTACTGAGGGTCGGGATGATTGGTGGCCAGATGCCCCCGCAGCAGAGCCGCCTCGGGTGGTCAGGACCATGGACAGCGTCAGAGGCGGGGCATGGGGGAGTTCGCTGCTGGCTGCCTTGCCTCTGGAGTCTGGAAGCCAACAGCAGCAGAGCACCGGCCTCTGGGTCAGGCCCTCGCAGGAGAGGGGCAATGTTGCAGTCATGCCTGAGCTGTGCTGCAGGGTTTCCTGGCTTGTATTTTGGGCCGACACCATCAGAATCCCTCCCAGCTGTCCAAGGTTGTGGGTCTGACCGTGGCCCCACCACCCTGCCTCACGGAGAGGGCCAGCCAAGGGTGGGCAGGGACATTTGTTCACACAGTGAACACTTTAAGAAAGGCTGCTGAGCTCAAGGAGAAAGCCCTTGATCCTCAGGATCCCCAGAATAGTGGGGAACGGCCAACAAGATGAGTGCTGGGCTGAATGGTGCCCCCCCCAAATGATGCCCAGAATCTGTGAAGGTGATCCTGATTGGAAAATGGGACTTTAAGGATGAGATCAAGTTAAGGATCTCGAGATGAGGCCATCCTAGATTTGAGAGGCGGGGGGCCAGATGCAGTGTCTGGTATCCTTATAAGGTAGAGAGACACAGAGAGAGGCCACATAATAGAGGCAGAGACCTCAGGGACACAGCCACATCCAGGGATGCCTGGAGCCCCCAGAGACTGGAAGGGGCAGGAAGGGTCCTCCCCTGGAGCCTGTTAGTTGTTTTAAACCACAAGTTAGAGATTTGTTGAAGCAGCAGCAGGAAAGAGTACAGAGTGCAAGAGGCGCTGGAGAGAGGAAGGCGCCCCTCACCCCGCCCCAGCCAGCCACCCTCCTGGAGGAGCTGGAAGGGCCTCCTGTGTTCTGAGGACCCCCACCTCTCACCCAAGCTCCTCAGGCAGTGTGCAGGGCCCTGAACCACGGCTGCACAGCCTGCCTCAACACCACCCCTTCCCCCGAGCGCAGGACCTGGGCCAGTCCTGCCACCCCTGAGTCTCAAATTCCTCATCCACACGTGGGGAGAGGCACACCCCTCCCCAGAGAAGTGAGAGAGCTGGCCCCTCCCTCTCATGCCCTAGACTCGGGTCCCAAGAGGACAACAGGGAGAAGCCATCCAAGGTGGTCATTCCTTACCTGCGGTGATCACAGTCACTTAGACTCTGGGCAGGCTTGGAGAAGAAGCAGAGCTAGGGCTTGGCCTAGGACCACCTGCCACACTCCACCCTGACTTGGGCTCCCCTAGGCCATCCTCCCCACTCCCCCAGAGGTCTAACCTCTCCCCTCTCCCACCACCTCCTTCCCCATCAAAACTGCTGGCAAAACCCTTGTACCTAAAGTTCTGTCACACAGCTGCTGGGAGCGCAGGTGGGACGTCCCTGGACGGGCGGCGGGTCCCACTGCTCCTGCTGTGTGCCGGAAGCAACCCCCGAAGGCCTTCCCCCCACGGCCCCGGGAGGGGCTCCTGCCCGGCCTGGGCCACTTCCAGGCTTCTCGCGGAGGCACGTCCCTGCCACCAAGTTTGACGTAAGTTATCCTCTGCAAGTTCAGACCCCTCATCCCAAGCTCATCAGCGTCTTCCCTTTCTTCCTGGAGCCTTAGGCCCAAGCTTGCACGGCAGGCGGGGCCGCGCGGTCCTGTGCAGATGTGAGGTTTTGCACAGTGTCAAGCCCCCTCCCAGCGCCCCCTCCCAATCCCTCCTCTTGCACACAGCCCCTGCCTCGCCCACGTAACCTCTCCCCGGTTCAGGACACAAAGAGCTTCTTCATTCCTTTCTGCAGCTACAGACAATCCCTGCAAAATTACTTTGAGAGTTAACAAATCACTGCGAGGGAGACGGCTCCCTGCTGCGATGGAATTAAATGCCCTGCAGAAGGCGCCCCTAACGGGTGCGTTATCCCAAGGGGGCGCCAGCAGCAAGGCCTGAAGCCTCCGGCGTGGTGGGCGTGGCCGGGGCGAGGCGGTGGGCGGAGTTGGAGGTGGGCGGGGCCAGCGCAGCCTCCTCCCAGGTCCGGGTGCGCCCTCGGAGTGCCGGCGCGCGGAGAGCCACGGATCAGCAGAGGTGTCAAGAGGTCTCAGCTTCTAGCACGTGGAGCTGTCCCCACGGCGCCCCCCGAGAGCTGCACAAGGAAGGAGATGCGAGAAAGTTTGGGTGGAGAATTAAGGCAAAGGGGTGTTTTCAGGGGCTTTTTATTTTCTTAATGAGAGACGCCTGCGTGTGTTTACCTGCAGGAGGAGAGGAACCAGTCCGGAAATTAAACATGGTATCACCGCACAATCCAGCAATCACGCTTCTGGGCACAGACCCCAAGGAATTGGGGGTAGGGACTGGGAAAGCTGTTACACACCCGTGGCCACTGCAGCATTATTCACAGTGCCTAAAACACGTTGGCACCCCAGGTGCCCTCGGAAGATGAAGGCTAATCATGATGGGGTCTATACATACACCAGAATATTATTCAGCCCTACAAGGCAGGGAAATTCTGACGCACGCTACGACGTGGGTGAAACGTGAAGACATTAGGCAGGGGAGAGGGAAGGGGAGTGAGTGTTTAATGGAACCAGAGTTTCGCTTTTGCAGAGGGAGGGTGGTGACAGCTATACAACAACATGAATGTCCTTCATGGCACTGAGTTGTGCATTTTAAAATGGTTACATGGCAATTTTTTAAGTATTTATCTTTATTTATTTATTCATTCATTTGACTGCATCAAGTCTTAGACAGGCTGGATCTTTGATCTTCATTGCAGTGTGCAGGATTGCTGGTTATGGGCATGCAGGATCTTTTTTTTTTTTTTTTCAGTTGTGGCACACAGCGTCTTAGTTGCAGCGTGCAAACTCTCAGTTGCAGCATGTGACATCTAGTTTCTTGAACAGGAACCAAACCCGGGCTCCCTGCATGGGGAGTATGGAGTCTTAGCCACTGGGCAACCAGTGGATGTCCCAACATGGCAAATTTTACATTATGTGCATTTTACCAATTAAAAATATGAGGGATCATCCACCTTCCAGAGTAATGGAAATAAAAGCAAAAATAAACAAATGGGACCTAATTAAACTTAAAAGCTTTTGCACAACAAAGGAAACTATAAGCAAGGTGAAAAGACAGCCTTCAGAATGGGAGAAAATAATAGCAAATGAAGCAACTGACAAAGAATTCATTTCAAAAATATATAAGCAGCTCATGCAGCTCAATTCCAGAAAAATAAACAACCCAATCAAAAAATGGGCCATAGAACTAAACAGACATTTCTCCAAAGAAGACATACGGATGGCTAACAAACCTATGAAAAGATGCTCAACATTACTCATTATCAGAGAAATGCAAATCAAAACCACAATGAGGTACCATCTCACGCCAGTCAGAATGGCTGCTATCAAAAAGTCTACAAATAATACATGCTGGAGAAGGTGAGGAGAAAAGGGAACCCTCTTACACTGTTGGTGAGAATGCAAACTAGTACAGCCACTGTGGAGAACAGTGTGGAGATTTCTTTAAAAAAAACTGGAATTAGAACTGCCATATGACCCAGCAATCCCACTGCTGGGTATACACACCAAGGAAACCAGAAGTGAAAGAGACGTGTGCACCCCATGTTTATCACAGCACTGTTTATAATAGCCAGGACATGGAAGCAACCTAGACAAATGGACTAGAAAGCTGTGGTACATATAAACAATGGAATATTACTCAGCTTTTAAAAAGAACGCATTTGAATCAGTTCTAATGAGGTGGATGAAACTGGAGCCTATTATACAGAGTGAAGTAAGTCAGAAAGAAAAACACCAATACAGTATACTAACACATATATATGGGATTTAGAAAGATGGTAATGATGACCCTATATGCAAGACAGCAAAAGAGACACAGATTTAAAGAACAGTCTTTTGGATTCTGTGGAGAAGGCGAAGGTGGGATGATCTGAGAGAATAGCATTGAAACATGTATATTACCATATGTGATCACCAGTCCAGGTTCGATGCATGAGACAAGTGCTCAGGGCTGGTGCACTGGGATGACTCTGAGGGATGGGATGGGGAGGGAGGCGGGAGGGGGGATCGGGATGGGGAACACATGTACACCCATGGCTGATTCATGTCAATGTATGGCAGAAACCACTACAATATTGTAAAGTAATCAGCCTCCAATTAAAATAAATAAATTAACTTAACAAAAAAAAAGAGGGAAAATAAAGGAAGAACCAAGAGACAGAAGAGAGGGGAGTTGGAAGCATGGAAGCACAGGAGAGCAGAAGAACGCCTGGGGCGGGGAGGCTGGAGTGCCGGGGAGGCCGCAGCAGAGGAGGGGCATCCAGAGGGTGGGTGACACTGGGCAGAGGGTGGGCAGGGTGCCAGTCTGGACGTGGCAACCTCGTGGCCCTTGCCCTGAGAGGCCTGGCTTCCGATAGAAATGTGGGGTGGGGAATCTGAAGGTGCAGGGGCAGTGGCGCTGACAAGCACCGTGGGTGGGGGTTCCACCACAGGCAGCCCCGAAGCAGGCGCTGCACACTAGGGATCCCTGGTGGGGCTGGGGCGGGGGGTGGGGGCAATGGCAGGTGAGACTCTCCGGAGTCAGTGTGGATGGACTGAGAGTGTCCAAGGGTTAGAGAAAATTGACCTGCGGTCTGGACGTGTGGAGGCGGGAGAATGAACAAATGGAGGGTGGGCACCTGCAGTCAACAGGGGCTCCTCCACCCCAGTGCGTCTTCTCACAGGGTCCTGGGGTACGGGCGAGTGGGTCCCCTAAGACTGCCCAGAGCCTACTCCCTCTGACCGGCCCACCCCTGCCCGCCTGTTTCTTGATAATGGATTTCAGGAGAGAGAGAGACTTGGACCCCATCAGAAACCCTGGGAGCTGCCTCATTGGCCAGTCACTGTGGGGCCGTCGGAAGCAGAGAGAGAATCCATAAGAGACCTCTCGTGGCCCCTGCCCACCTTGGAGGAGGATCTGGACTCTGATCTAAGAAGGAAGGCAGTCTCTCTTCTCCCAGAGAGCGTGGGAAGGAGCCCAGAGCAGGGAGTGGAGCATGAGGGCCAGCGCGTCTGCAGCCATATCTGCCCTAAAGGCCCCCTCCCCCATGGCTGTGTGCGGCCAGCAGGGCAGATGCCTTTCCCGCCCCCAGGAGGCCAGACCTCAGCCCCTCAGTTAGAAACACTGAACATCTTTTCCCTGGTCTGGGTCCGATTCACGTTGGTGACCCCAGAGACCTGGGGTAGGGGCTCGTAGCCCAGGACAGGGCCACACAGCTCCCCAAAGAGAGCAGGGCCCATGCCCACCCGCTCCAGCTCCCCCTCTACCCAGGCAGGAGGGGTGTGGACGGCCAGTGGGCCGAGGGAGGCCAGGGCAGGCTGGGAGGGGACCAGACCAGCAGCGCCCACGAGGCCACTCTCGGGAGCCAGCCCAACTGAGCAGGGCAGAGCAGGCAAGGCCAGGCCCATGTCAGGCATGGGTCTCTGGGCTGGAAGCTGGGCCCCAGGCTGCCTGTGTGTGTGGGCAAGGCTGAAGGAGAAAGCACTGACGTCCAAGGGCAGAGGCTCTAAAGTGGGCCTCAGCTGCCCACGGGGCCTCCAGCCCTCAGCCTTGGCCCTGGGAGTTTGAGGGAGGCATGTCTCCACCCCAGGGGTCTTCAGGGAGGCCCTTGTCCCTGAAGCCTGGGGTCAGAGAGTGCCAGGAGGGGTCGATTTTGCGGCCAGAATGCTTGAAGACAGCTGGGTGGGGACGGAGCTGGCATATACTCACTCAGACCTGAGGACTAGGGGCCTCGACCACTCCTGTGGGATCCCAGCCCTGGCCTGGCCTGGCCTGGCCGTGTGACTGCGTCTGCGTAGGGAGGGCCAGCCCCCGTTGCCTCTCCTGGGACGGGATGAGGGAGCAGGGCAGGGCTGGGGGAGAGGAGGGGGGAGGGGCACCCTGGGGTGGAGGGTTGGTGAGGAGGGGGCAGAGTCCAACCCTGGCAGTAATTCCCTGTCAGTAAAGTAGCGATGGTAACACTACACACCCCCAGAGTTGTTGAGGACCAATAAAGTGGTATATAATTTTAACTAGTGAACTAAATGATGTTATTTTTTATTTGCATCTGGGCCAAGGAGGAGCTGGGCCTGTCTGGGGGGTCAGGCGGCAGGTGGAGACCCCCTGCTCTCTAACATTTCTGGGAACCCCCATGGGGCCCTGCCTGGGAGCAGCTCCTGGGAGCCCAGGTCGGAGCACCTTCAGGAGGAAGGCAGTGTGCAGGGCCAGCATGCAGGCCACCACGAACGCCAGCCTGAGTAATGCAGAGGGCAGGTCCTGGGCCATGAGCACGGAGGATGACCCTGTCTGGAGAGTAATTCTGGCCTCCAGATGGGGGTGGGCTGGGACAGCTGGCAGTCAGAGACTAGAGGCCAGGCAGCCCCCGCAAAACGGAGGCTGTTCAAGCAGCCCAGTGCCCACAGGGAGAAGGCGGCGCACTGGCTCAGAGGAACGGCGGCGGGGGGATGATGCTCGGTGGCTGAGACTTCAGAGGGGCGTCATCCCAGCCGGCCCTGGGGGGGCTGAGACTTCAGAGGGACGCCATCCCAGCCGGCCCTGGGGGGCACTGTGCCAGGCGCTGTTCTACAGGCCAGCAGGCACTGGCTCTTGATGGCCATGACCGCTTCGAGAGTGTGGAAGCCCACAGAGTCAGGGGAAAGAGGCCTGGGCTCAGGCTCGGACGGTCTCACCCAAGAACCAGCTCTCAGTCTCTGCTCCAAGTGCCCCTGAGGATGTCCCACCCACGGGGAGACTCAGGCTGGGCAAGGTCAGGGAGCAGCCCCGGTGAACAACGGGGGCCGGCTCGCAGCCCTGACTCCAGGCCTGAGTCTAGCCTCCTGCCCTGGCCCACCTTTTGTTGGCCTCAAGGAAGGGGCTTCTCAGCGCCCACCCTGCAGCCCACAGAGGAGGAAAGGGTGAGTGGGCAGCCCCCTCACACAGTGCAGCACTGGCAGGAAAAGGCAGGCTCCCAGCAGTCCCGGAGGCCAGCTCCAGAGGGCACGAGGCCAACACGAGGGATGGAGAGAGGAGGAGGAGTTGGTGGCATGTGACACGCGCACGTGGGGCTGTGCGGTAGTCAGACATGAGCTGCAAGGAGGTGACAGAGGCGGAAACACAAGAGGTGGTGGATCAAGCTAAGCCCCAACCATCTGAGGACCACCCCACCCCGACCTCATCCAGAAGGGGCAAAACTATGGTGTGGCGGTGGGCAGCTTACCCTGACAGAGAGATAGCACGGTGACACAAGAGAACGCCCACGGCTGCCCACGGCTGCCCACGGCTGCCCACGGCTGCCCGTGCCCAAACTAGACAGGCATACAACCTCTCGCAAACCCAACTCATTATACCAACGTTAATAAAGTCTACAGGTGGTTTCGTGCTCCACTGGGTGGGCTGTTCTTAGCAAATCAAGGGTAAGGGTGTGTGCAATAATGAACTTGTTAGAGAACTCACAACAGGAGAGCCAAGAGCCATCACCGGTCACTCACCCACGATCGCACCGCCTCCTCCCCCATCACTCCCTAACCCTAACAGCTGCCTCCTCAGCGAAACACTATCACCACCCTGAAGCCAGTGCAGAACGGGCTGGTTTCTTTTTTTGTTTGTTTTTGGGGTTTTTTTGTTTTTTTTTGTTTTTGTTTGGTTTTTTGTTTGTTGTTTTGGGGGGGGGGCTGGTTTCATTTCACAGAAACAGACGGCTCTTCCTCTGAGTCTTTATCCTTTATCTTCCTGTACTTAAGCAGGAAGCGGTAGTTTGCAAATATTTGCTAGCTATCACAAGGACTCAGATGTCTGGTCCAGTCTCCCACTGACCTCCTTGGTTGAAGCTCTCTGTCTGACAGAGGGCACGCCACCCCGGGACAGGACAGCCTCGGGGACATCAGCAGGGGCCGCATCCCAGGGAGAGGAGACAGCAGCGCGGAGGCCCTGGGTGGGGCGGAGGGCAGCGGCGGCCGGCGGGCCCACACAGTGCTGGTGGGACAGGGAGGCCTACCGGGAGCACCACAGCCGTATTTCACTCCGAAATGCTCTTAACAAGGTCCCGGGAGAGGACACAGCCGACTTATGGTTGACGGTGCCGCTCAGCGGTCTGCAGCTGGAGGGTCCACGAGGCCAGGCTCCCATGGCTGATGCCCGGACCTGGGTCTCAGGGGGAGACACGGGGCGGGGACTGGCCAGCCCGCACTGCAGGGCTGAGGCTGCAAGGCTGGGGCGGAGCCGCTCGGGAGGGCAGGACACCCCACCGGCTGCCGCAGTGACTTCCCCTCCCCCGCCTCTGGAGTCAGGGTGGGAAATGACCATCCCTGGCCCAGTGCCTGGCCTGGGGGCCAGTGTGAGGTCCATTGTTTGAGGCTGGAGCTGGGGGGCCCGGGGCCCTGGGAAGCCCCCGGCAAGGCCCTTTGTCCCACTTCCCACAGATCCAGAGGCCCGGCGAGGCCCTGGTGAGCAGACGCGGCAGAGGTGGTAGCCCCGCAGGATGAAGGCGCTGGCGGCTGTCCTGCTGGCCCTGCTGTGGTGTGGGCAGCAAGGTACCTGGGGTGAGGGGCGGCCCTGCAGCGAGAGGGACGGCCCGGTCCAGGCCGCAGGCCCTCAGGGTCACCCCACCCGGGGGCAAGACGTGGCTTGGGGAGGAGGACAGGGGGCACCTGCAGGCCGAGGCCAGAGGGAGGTGGGTGGGCTGTCCTGGGTCCACATGGGTCCCCAAACCTGCAGCCCCGGCCCCAGCCACACGCCCAGGTGCCAGCGATCCTCCCCACCCAACCCCACCCAGTCTCAGCCTCTCAGGCTTGGGGGTGCCCGCCATCCAGGGGCCGGAGTGTGGGGCTGTGAAGGGCCAGCGCCCAACCCCTAATGTTGCTGGCAAGGATGCCGCCAGGCTGCACGCCAGTCAGGAGGCGGGGCCGGGGCTCGGAGACCCAGGCAGCGACCTCACCAGCTCGGGAGGCGGCAGGGAGGTCAGAGGGACTGGAAAGGGGGTGCTGGACCGAGGGGAGAGGGCACGGCACTGGGCCCCGAGCCTGTGTCCTCTGTGCCCGGGTAGTGGAGGTTTACAGGTGTCCCTGCGCGGCCAGGGAGAGGGCGGGCACAGGAGGACGAGGATGACGACCCAGACGCTGGGCGCGAAGGCTACGACGATGAGGAGGACGAGGAGGAAGAGGAGGCCAGCACGCCTGCAGGCAGCAGGGGCTCAGGTACCTGCCCACCCCGCCCCAGCATGGGGCACGCCACCCTCTTTCTCAGCGCTCGCCTGCGTGCCTCGAGGCTGACAGTGAGGAACCCACAGGAAGAGGCCTCCACTGCCAGCGTCCCTGCCCTCAGGGCAGGGGAAGGGGGAAGAGGGGCCCCTGACACTCAGCACTCCCTCAGTTCTCACCCTGGCAGTTACCCCCAACTGCCATCCAAAGGAGGGGGCTAGAGAAGGAGCCGGTCCTGGGAAGGGCAATGGTGCTGGGGCAGAGAGGTTAAATAGGAGTTCACCAGGCAGACAGGGGCACAGCAGAGCCCCAGGATGGAGAGACCAGCGACTCAAAGGCCCTGGGTGTGGAGTGCAGTTCAGAAATACACAACTGTCCCGGGGAGGCAGGGCGGCGGGGCAGGAGAGCAAGGGGGCCAGTCCTGAGGTGGGGGTGCAGGGGGCTCCAGCAGGGCAGGGTTTGCGGGGTCAGCAAAGAGTGGGAGAGGCGGACAGGAACTGGGAAGGGACCTCGGAGGGGAAGAGGCTGGGAAGCGGCAGGCCTGGGTGAGCTGGGGGTGCTCCGGGCCTGTGCCCCTCACGCAGCTGAGCCCACCCGGCCCCCCAGGGCCACAGTGCTACGCGTGCCAGTCCCTGCACAAGGGGGAGAGCTGCCGGCAGGTGCAGAGCTGCGTGCTCCCCAAGACGTGCAAAGCCATTGTCTCCTCCTGGAACGCTGGTGAGGGGCCACCGGGGGTGGCGGGACGGCGTCACCCATGCCTGTGAGGGGCCCCGTCCCTGCCATGTCCTGTCACGTGTGACCTGCTCTCTCCCCCCACAGAGTCAGGTCCCCAGACCACCTACTCGGGGTGGTGTGCAGACACGTGTCATCCCACCAGCAGGACTGTGGAAGGATCCCTGACGACCATATCCTGCTGCCAGTCCAGCCTGTGCAACACCCCACCCTGGCAGGACCCCCAGGGGAGAGGGGCAGGCGGCCCCCGGGGGAGCCTTGCAACTGTGGCTGCCACCCTCCTGCTCAGCCTCCTGGCCGGCCTTCAGGCGATGGCGCTTTGAGTGGGGTGGTCCCTCCTCGTGCCCAGCCTGGCTTGCACCCTGGCTGGCCAGCACTCTATCCGCTGTCCCCTCCCCTGGACCATGGAGAATAAACTGGAAGCACCTGTGATGACCCCGCCACACTGGTTCCTCTCGGCCACGGCTGTCCTTCCTCGGTTTCCCCTTCCAGCATCCTGACCCTCTCTCCCTGCCTCTCCCTGGCAGATGGCCAGCACGTGGGCCTTAGGTCCAGGCCTCAGCAGCTCACAGGGTGGGTCCACACGGCTCCCCGCCCCCAGGAGAGAAAACACTCACTGCATGCCAGTGGGGAGCCCACCCCAGTTTGCTCCCCAACTTCTTGCCGGAGAAAACCTCCATCCATCCATGTGACGGGCAGCTCTTTCAGGGAGGAGACTTGGGGAGGAAGGTTTCCTTGGCCTACAGGAGGAAAGGGCCCCACCCAGGGCTGCTTGGGGGTGAATGGAATTAATGAGGGGCTGGAAGACAAACAGAAAAGAGGGAGGCAGGTGGTGTATGGCTCAGATGGGACTTTGCAACCAACCACTTAGCTTGTGGGGGGACGGGGCAGAGGAGGGGCAGTCAGGGAGAAGTGGCAGGGCAGAGCAGGAGCCCCACGGCTTCCTCAGTCTCTGCTCCACTGGACGGGTGTCGCTGGTTGCTGGGCGCTCAGCCTCCGTGACTGGTGCCTGGACGGAGCCAAGCCCCGGAGCGGGAAGGAGAGGGCTGGGCTTCAGTTTCCCCATCAGAGCGGTATGGAACAAGGCACAGAGGACCCTGGTGCCCACCACCTCAACATCCCTTGTGCAGGGAAGCCCAGACCTCCATCTTGCCTGCCCAGCATCCCTGCAGGCAGAGTAGCCTCCCACCATCTGTTTTCCCCTTTCCTCACTAAGGGAAAACTCTTAGTAAGGAGGTTTGTCCTCCTTACTGTCCTGGCACACAACAGTCCACCCGACAGAGGCGACATGTCTGCCCGGGGCCACAGAGTTGGTGGTGGCAGGTCCGGGACCCAGCCCGGGGCTTCTGGTCAACAGTGGCCGCCTTCCCGGGAGGCCACAGGCCGGTGGACGGCAGAGCCAGGGCACCTGAGCCAGAGGTTGCAAGCAGCTGGATGGCGGCCAAGACCCAGCTAGATTCCCAGGCCGAGTCCAGTCTGAGGTACCAGTGGACAGCCACAGCCAGAGCCTTGTCACAAGGCTCGGCGTTCAAGGCCAGTCCCCGGAAGGAGAAGCCAGAGGCCCCGGGAAGCTGTGTGGTCAGCCCCTCCCTCCCATCCAGCCCAGCAGCACCTCTGTGCCTTCCCAGAAGGCTGGCAGGGAACACGTCCATCCAGATCAGGGGCCCTGCTCCCCATGGCTGCCGAAGCAAATGACCACAAACCACACACACGAGTTATCTTATGGTCCGGAGGTCAGAAAGAATGGCAGGGCTGTGTTCCCCTTGGAGGCCATGATAGTCCATTTTGTGTGTCAGCGTGCCTGGACTAAGGGATGCCCGTGAAGCTGGCAAAACATTATTCCTGATGTTTCTGTGAGGGTGTTTCCAGAAGCACTTGGCATGTGAATGGTGGGCCTGAGAAAGATCACTGCCCCATGTGAGTGGGCATCACCCAGGCCATCAAAGGCCCAGATGGAACAAAAGGCAGGAAGGACCAATTCCCTCTTCTGGAGCTGGGATGCCCATCCTGTCCTGCCTGCCAACATTAGAACTCCTGCTTCTCGGGCCTTTAGGGCTCAAAGGGAATGACACCACCACAGACCCGCTCTCCTGCTTCCAGGGAGTGGACTGGGGCTTCTTGGCCTCCAAGACTGTGTGAACTGATTCCTCTGTGTGTGTCTGTGTCCTGACCTGCTCTGCTAATAACAACACCAGTCAGCTTGGGTTAGGGCCACTCTCATGACCTCATGTACCTTAGTTCAGTTCAGTCGCTCAGTCGTGTCCAACTCTTTGCGACCCCATGGACCACAGCACACCAGGCCTCCCTGTCCATCACCAACTCCCAGAGCTTACTCAAAACTCATGTCCATTGAGTCGGTGATGCCATCCAACCATCTCATCCTCTGTTGTCCCCTTCTCCTCCTGCTTTCAATCTTTCCCAGCATCAGGGTCTTTTCAAATGAGGCAGTTCTTCACATCAGGTGGCCAAAGTATTGGAGTTTCAGCTTCAGCATCAGTCCTTCCAATGAATATTCAGGACTGATCTCCTTTAGGATGGACTGGTTGGATTTCCTTGCAGTCCAAGGGACTCTCAAGAGTCTTCTCCAACACCAGAGTTCAAAAGCATCAATTCTTTGGTGCTCAGCTTTCTTTATAGTCCAACTCTCAAGTGACTACTGGAAAAACCATAGCTTTGACTAGACAGAACTTTGTTGACAAAGTAATGTCTCTGCTTTTTTAATATGCTGTCTAGGTTGGCCATAACTTTTATTTCAAGGAGTAAGCGTCTTTTAATTTCATGGCTGCAGTCACCATCTGCAGTGATTTTGGAGCCCCAAAAAAATAAAGTCTGTCACTGTTTCCATTGTTTCCCCATCTATTTGCCAGGAAGTGATGGGACCAGGTGCCAGGGTCTTAGTTTTCTGAATGCTGAGTACCTAAATCACCTTTAAAAACCCCCGTCTCCAAACACAGGCCCATCCTGAGGTCCTGATGTTAGGACTTCAGCTCATGAATCTGGGGGCGCAGTTCGGTCCATCATAAGCGGCTAAGACAGGGCTCTGTTGGGGGCACAGAGCACAGTCAATATCCTGAATTGAATTTAAAGGAAGTGTTTGCCAGAGTGGTGGAGATGGGGAGGAGGGGCAGGGGCCTGGCAGAGAAGGCTTGGCCCAGGGGGATGTACAGGCAGACAGGAGCTGGGATGGCTGGAGCTTGGTTCAAAAAGCCAAGACTCGACTCCTGAGCACCAGGCCCCATCTGTGGCCTTGACGTGCACAGCTGGTGGCCAAGCAGGGTCGCCTGCTCCTGCTGGCTCCCACAGTATTCTGTCCATCTGCTCCTAAGGTTGCCTATGTCCCCCACAAGCCCCATGGCAACAGCAGCAAAGGTTGGAGCGCCAGGTCCTTCCCACAGATCTTCTTCATAAATGCAAACAGGCCTCTGCCGGCCTGCAAACCCCATCCCCCGGGCCTTCTCCACCCCCTCTCCAGCTGCGGCACCAGCCCCACTAGAAACCACCTCCTGGGATCCCCTCAGGTCCGGTGTCCCCACCCAGCCCTGGAGTTGGCAGCAAACTCAAGAAGAATGCTGTATTTCCTTCTTTGCTGGGCTCACCCGAGTTACCAGTTGGACAAGGGGCTCGGGGGTCCCGTCCCAGCAGGCAGGTCCCCCGTGGCCACCCCACCCCACACTGGTTCCATTCATTTGGTGTTTTTCTCCGGACTTCCTCAGCACAGGAAGCAGGTGGCCATGGTCACATTTCCTGTCCTTGTTCTCAACCATGAGAACTGGGTGAGGATAAAGCAGTGACCCCAAAGCAGGACATTCCTGAGGACAGAGATTCCCGGCCGTCGGCCTTGGACAGACCGAGCGGCGCCCTCCGGGAACGCCAGGGTTTGCAGAAGCTGACGGACTCATGCACTGGTCAGCGGCAGGAGTTGAGCGAGGCCGCTGACTCTGTGGCACCCAGTCCCACCAGGAACTCTCCGGAACAGAGGGGAGTCAGAGCCATGGCACTGGAAGGCATCAAGCCTGAGAACGAGGGGCTGGGGGGGACGTGGGGATGCAGAAAGGCGTTTCAGTGTCAAGGATGGCGGTCAGAGCAGAGCAAAGCTGCCCTCACCTGTGGGACCAGGGCGGCTCTGGGTTCCCACAGGTGGAGAACTGGGGCGGGGGCTATACTGGAGTAACGTGGCAAAAGCCGCCCCCCGGGGTGCCCCCTTACTCAGCTTCATAACCCTCCCAGAAAGAAAAGCGGGGTACTTGGTGGAGGTGGAGGCAGGTGGGATCTCAGCCCCACAGAGCGGGCATCCTAGAGAGGAGCAGGCCTGTGAAGTCCCAACCTCAGGACATCCCGGGCGAGAAAACCTTGAAAGCCGCGGCTGCTGGGACACCCCCAGGGCCAGGCTGTGATCCACCAGCTGCAGACAGAGCCCGCCTCCGCCCAGGGTGCACGCATACCATGCAGGAATGCCCAGCTTCCCTTGCCCGACCCTCTCCCCATCCAGGCTCAGGTAATGCCCAAGGATTTACCTCCTAGTAAGTCTGTAAGTGCACGAACATCGGTAAAGTTACAGAATTGGAAAATGGATATACTTACCACCCACCCCTCGCCATCAGCTGTAAGCCTGAGGGGGCAGATGTCAGCTTTCCTAAGTATATTTGTGTGACACGTAGTAGAGGAAACGAAACACCCACAGTTCAGTAATCAGTGTCTAGGAAGAACCATAATAACGTCGCCCGACTCCTCCGGTCCAGTGCACGCCCACAGCACTCTCTGGATTTACCTCCGAGCCACGACAGCTCCAATTTCCTGAATTGCAATTCCTTGGGCTATTCCCAAATAAATTTGCTTTTGCTGGTAAAAGACCTAGCTACCACTCTATTATCGAATATAGTATAGTAGCAACGAAGAGGGAACAGAATGGAATTTGGTCTTGAGTTTGTTGAGACTGCAGTACTTGAAGCTCCTGCAAGGATAAAGTCTAAGGGACAGATGCACAACAGGAGCCAGAGCCAGAGACACGTGAGAGAAGGCAGCATCTAGGGGCATCAGGGCCAAGTGCCCATTCACTGAATTGCCATAATGAGAGCCCCACCAGGCTACTGGAAGGACACGTCAGGAAATAGAGAAAGCAAAACAGCCCACCCCCAGAAGACTTGTTTTTCTGGTGTGGGAAGGGAAGATGAACATAATAAACACAATAATAAGGAAATTACATAGCCTGTTGGAAAGTGCTATGGAAAAAAAAAAAAACATAGGGAAGGGTGGTACCAGGAGGTGGAGGAAGGGGCAGAATGCTGTGGTATTACAAAATATGATCACCAACAGTGCCAGTGGC